CCGCCGCCGCCGCCGTCGCTCTCTCCCTCTTATACCGTTGTTGTCGCTGTCTTTTTCCGCGACTACGCTGGATAAATGGGACACGCTCCCTCTCCGTCTTCCTTTTTCTCCTCTTATCACACGATCTTTCCACGTTGCCCGCGTTTCTCTCCTACTTCAGCAGCCCGGGAGAGCTCATAGGCGCCAACTTTCCGCACCCAACCGAGTAGTAGCGCGACCGTAGCTTTTTTTCTCCTCATCTTTACGGACACCGTGATGGATGTTTTCGTATTAAAACTGTCGGCGCGGCCACGATGGATCGCGCGCGCGCGGATATTTAATTATCCCGGGCTTTTGCAAACGCGCGAGTTTCTGCATCTTCAAAAATTAATCTTTCGCGCAAAAATGTGCGCGTCCGAAATGTTTAGAATTTACTCGCGGGAACGCGACACGCGCGTTTACTCGCGCACACAGTTTGTTTTATACCATCTCCACCAACCGCAGCTGTTACGAAGGCGGAAACTTTCTCGACGACTCCCGAAAGATATTTCTCTTGAAATTATTTTGTTAACTCGGTTTTTATCAAGAAGCACGGTAGTGTCTCGCGCTAAGTTCACGCACGACAAAATCGCATTTTTAAAGTCACGTGTTGTTTTTTTACTCCTCTCACTCTTTAGTTTTCGAGTTTAATTTTTATTTCTGACACCTCTCATATGTTTATTATATGGTTTGTAAGACGGTCATTTGTTCCGTTAAAAAGAGACAACGTGTCTCTCGAATTTTCACCTGTGTGTTCTCGCGGTAAAGAAAATCTCTCTCCTTCTCCCCCCCCCCCGGTGACAACGCTTATGTTCCCCAACGCTCTTGTTCTTCATTTTTGTTCTCGGTTTCTAGCCTGACGGAAGAGAAGCGAGAGAAACGACGACGGAGAAAAAGGATATCTTTCGCGCGCGAGATAAGGCAGTCGGAGAAACGATCGCGGGCCACGGGCGAATAAATAGCGGACGGCAATGTTTTAGTCGCGAAACTGTTTTTTTTTTCTTTTCGGGAATGGGGTAAACGATGGCGCCTTTTCCGCGACGGGGACGTGCGAGGGAGGGTTGTGTAACAGTTTCTCACACATCTCTTTCGCTTTCCACCCCGACTCGACACCTGTGAAATAGCTTATACAGAGTGCACGGAAAAGAACTGTTTTCTCTCTCTTCCTCTTTTCTGTAAGTTTATTATATTAATAAAATTAAGAAATAGAATGTGTTGTTGTTTTTGAAACGTTTTTAAAAATTTTATTACAACACCATTGGTTGTTTATTGTTTAGCTCACTTGTATAGTTTTCTTAATTATATATGTTCATGGATTTTCGCTCAAGGGGATGCTATCCTGAAGCGCACAATAAATGACGTTTCTCTCTCTCTTGTTTTCTCATTTCTTTCTCGATCTTGAAATATTTCAGTTTGTTTCTCGTTCTCTTATTGTGTATATATATATATATATATTTCCGTTGATGCAAGCAATCAGACAATTGTCTTTCACCGATACGAGTCTCTCTCAACAACTAAACAATTGAATTTGCCGCAATAAATAAAGCAGTCGAGAGAGAAAAACACCGCGCGACTTGATGAGAGGTTTCGCGAAGCTTATTCGAGATTGCATCGGAAAAGAAGCCTCTGTCTTGCACGGGGAAAATTTCATAGTGCATTACGCGAGACGTAACACACCCACACATACTTAAATAAATATATATATATATATTTATATACCTATATATATTTTTCTCTTTCTCTTTTGCACACAAGTTTCACCATTAGAAGGTGCGCGTCAGTTGTTTCTGACATACTCGATATAACCCGCGCTCGTCGCCGCAGGATAAATACTCGCGACGTGCACCTTCCCGTTTCTCTTTCTGACCCTTTGCCCCGTCGCGCTTATCCGCTTCCGTTTCCCATACTTCGGAGAAAGGTTTATCTTCGTGTCTCCTCGCTTCGTGTCCCGGTTCTCACACAACCGAGTGGCGCGCCACTCCACCACCCCCAAGAGTTTGACGTCGGTTTGTCTCACTACGTCTTCCACAACGACGTCCGCCCCGGACTTCGTAGGTCGTCTTCGACTCACGAGAGCGCGAGATTAACTCGGTCCTTGCGGGCAAGTTTGGAGATCACCGCGGCTCCCTCACTCTCTCAAAATTTCCGAAATTCTAAATTCTCAATTTTCCGAGACTTCTCGCTCGCAATTTTCAACAAGGAGAATCTCCCTCGTTAAATGCAACGAATTTTCTAAAAAATCGTAAAAGTTAGCGCCATTCTTGAAGTTAATCCCAAATAAGTGTTTGCAAAGAAAAATTACAAATTTTCTCTCTAATGAGAACAGAATATTATCCACAAACGTGTAATTTAAAATAACTAACGCAACAAAAGCGCGCGATGTTATTGTTTTTATTTTAACGTGTTGTACCAAACACAACGTGTCACCGCGATGACAGCTAGTATATACATCTTACAAACCATATAATACCTATGAAGTACAAATGAGAGATATCAGAAATAACACATGAAAATCAAACTCAAAAACTAAAAAAAGGGAAGAGTGGAAAAAAAACACGTAACAAGGAGAAGTAGAGAAACACCATATGACTAAAGTCACGTGACAAGGAAAAAAGTAAAACCGAGAATATTATATATATATCATATATAATATTCTATATCTATATATAATACACACACACACACACACACACACCGTAATCATGTGACCAAAGTCAGTGACCCCGCCAAGGCTGCGCGGCCGAGGTCAGTGCCCCGCCAAGGCCGCGCGGCCGAGGTCAGTGACCCCGCCAAGGCCGCGCGCCCGCGGTCAGTGACCCTCTTCCCTCCACTAAGACCGCGCGGCCGGGGTCAGTGCCCCGCCAAGGCTGCGCGGCCGAGGTCAGTGACATTACTGTAGTATAATACATATAATACAATATAAAGTATAATATTATAAATATATAATAAATTATATGTATAATATGTATTATTTAATGTTATACCATATATAATATAAATTACAGTCACGTTATTTTCACGTGTTGTTTTTCTACTCTTTCCTGACTTTAGTTACGTTTTTAATTTTCTCTACATATACGACGAACTGTCTCAAAATCGCTTTTCATTATTTACTCTCTCGATCTTACCGATTCGATTCGACTCGATCAACCAACCAACCAATCGGTAACGCGAGAAAGAGGCAACAATAGATGCAATATATTTAATATAGGATATCGCATATTTGTTAATTTCTTTTGTTTCAGGTGCTTCACGTTATAGACGAGGTGTTGGAGCCGGTGCGATTCACCAATCCGGAATGGGCGGTTTACAACCCGAACGCCTTTGAGTTTCTGAATCAGAGCGAGAATATCAATTTGGGCGACCATCGTGTACGGTAAGTAGTGTTCGATAAATCAGCGCCGGGTTCGAGAGCTCGGCTATTTACACGACGTCGATCGTTTTCGAAGGTGGGAAGCGTCTCTCTAGTGGCAGATATAAAAGAGTAATGACGACATTTATAGTGTTCGAAGGAGAAGAGTCGAGACGACCTTTACCGTCACTCTTGAGTCATCGAGCGCTAATCCACCCTCCTACATGCGTATCGGCGTTTGATGTCGCTTTTATCACGAGAAGTGTCAAGTTACGTTGTCAAGTCTCAGAATGTGTGACTTTATCGAATTGTTTTGACCCTTTACGTGTATTGGAATATCTTTGCAATTTTTTTTGATAATTTAAACAATAAAGAAATGTAATTTAATTAAAATGTAAAATAAAGATAACATTGTGTTACGCGTCGATTTCGCGAGAATTGTAAAAAGAGATTGCGTTTACCTCAACGCGCGGTGAATCGCAACGCGCGCTTAAACATTCAGCGAAGAAAAAAAAAATCAGAGCGTTCGGAGTGCCGCGCGTCCATTAACGAAGTCTTCGATTTGAATACTGATACAAAAAAACTCGCGACCCGGAAGATTATTTTGATAAATAAATGCGCGAACTTTTCCTATCTGTCTTATTAATGTTGGCCAACGTCTTGCGCACGTCGTCATAATTAACCTTTTTTTCTTTCTTTCTTGTCTCTTCCAGTACTTTCCGACAGCGAGTGACTCTCACGAAGAAGGAGGCTGTCTTCAAGGCCGAGGGTCATTTCACCTTCTTTATACCCGTTGACGAGGGTTTCAAGGTAAGCGGCTTAGCGATCTTCGCGAATTGATCATCCGAGAGATGATTTTAATATCTTCCTCCTCTCTTCTCCTCTTCTCCTCTTTCCCTTCGCGATTGATTTCTTTAGAAAACTCGAAGACGACGACGCGCATGTTCACCGCGAAAGCGGTGAAAAGACACGAGAGAGCGAAATTCTTACAAAAAATTGTGTACTGAAAGAACGTCTCACAAAAATTGGGAACTACACTCTCTCGAGCGAACAACGCGACTCGCTCGGCGGATTATTAAAAATTTCGCGAATGTGTGTTAAATTTCGCACATTCGAGAAGAATTAAAACAACATTCTCAAAAATAAATCGAAGCGTACACATAGAAGTCGAATTAATTAAATGCGTTTGCAGTGATGGGAATTCCACGCGAGACACTGCGAGATTTACGAGTACACTCGTGCACGGATCCCCGTTGTACGGAACGTCGCATTACGGTGGTGGTGGTGGAACCCAGAACCAGAGTGTGACGTTTTACCCGCGGATGTAAATTATTCCGTGCAGATACGCACGCGTGGCATTTAGACGTTTCAAATGTCGAGTTACGACACGTTACATGTAAATCCACTGTGTAACACCGAAGAAGCGCCACGCGACACGTGACGTCGTCCTTTACGGCGTCGCCGTGTAGGCGAGCGAAACGCGTTCATATAAAATTGTTCATGAAATCGCTGTCCGAAACGCGCTGCACGGGTGTGAAAGCTGTGAAAAATAACAAACGCTTTTGTTTACATCGTTTGTTTTGAAAAAACTTTTCTCCGCGTTGTTTCCTTCTTGTTAACAGTTTTCGGCCGATCAAAAAAAAAAAAAAACCAAAAAACAAAAAAACTGTTATTCTTCAACCGTGTGTTTTTTACACATGTCGCGCAGCAAATTCACGCGCTTATTTATTATATCAGATAAATAATATTTTCAAACTAGCGTAATCTGTTTGACTTCGAACGTGTTTTCGGAAACGTCCCATCAAATTCTTCCCCGCGAAAATAAAACGAAAAATAGTTTAAAAAATAACGAATTTTCGCTCTCTCTTCTCAGAAATTTCCGTTCCATTATCCGTTTCCTATTTCATTATACTTGGCGTCGTCGCGCTGCGCTTCGGCGCGGAATTTCCACTTTTTCTACAATTTTCAACACCGCGCAACACACAATGGACGTTCAACGCGCATGTAATCCAACTTCGAGCGTAAAAACGAGAGAGCGAAAGAAAGAGAGAAAAAGAGAGACCAGAGTTAAATGAGCCATCCCGTCAGAAATTACCGAAAGTTTCGTGTGCTTGTACGTACATACGTACGATGTGCCGGACTCTCGGGTCGGGAAAAAGAAGGCAAAGAAAGGCAAAAAAAAAAAAAAAAATATGTGTACAGCGGGAAAGCGAAGAAAATAGAGGTCGTCCAGAAGGTTGCGCAAAAGGGTGTGTAACGACGGTGTGTACGACTCGATCTCGAAAAGTTCCTCTCTCTCTCTCTCTCTCTCTTTCTCTCCCTTTCAACGAGGTCGTCGGAATCGCACGGAGAATTCCGTGGCCCGATATCGAGAAGTCCCGGCATTTTTCCGCGTCTCTTCGTCACCTTCCGGCAACGACTTCTCCCTCGAATTCACGCGCTCAAGGGATAGGATTTTAAAGTTCGTGGTCCGCGAAGAAATCGAGTTGCCATGACGACGCGGTCGTCCAAGCTTTTGTGTCCCGATTTCGGAAATGTCGGATGAAAGGACACACGCGTGCATTCGGCAACAAGAACGCGCGCGGTAACGCGTGCACGGAGCGTTTCGCGCAAAATGGAAACCGATTTCGATCGCGTTGCAAAAATATATAACAGTTTCTTGCGCGCGAATATTTTGCGAGTAATTCGTAACCGCGTAAAATCTCGAGTCGGGTCGGGAAAAATATTATTCGAATTTTTATTTCGTTAAATTTTATTTGAATATTTTTTCTTCGTTCGTCATTTTTCCCGTGGAATTAATTCGAGAGATTCGCGCGACACGACGATCCTCTCTCTGTTGCAGCCGGAACCGAGGCCCGAGAAGATTGACCACGTGGTGATCGACGGGCACGTTGTGTCCGACCAGGTGCTCTTCACTGCGCCGACGCCGCACGACGTGCCGTACCCAACCCTCGTGTTTTCGGACAATTTAAAAGTCACCGTCAGCATTCAGAAGGAAAACAACAAAGGTAATAACACCAGGTTTATCAATTTTTCTCACAAATATTTTCTATGCTCAAGTTAACCAAACGGCTTTTCAGGCTAATCGATTTATAGAACGAAACACCGGATGTAAGTCGGTTATTGTCAAAAGTAAACTCCGTTATAATTGACAAAAGTGTACAATTTATATTCTAGCTTGTATTTCGAAGAGCGACCGAGGACAATATGCGTCTTTTATAGTTCGCTTTCAACAACAGACGGAAATTGATTTTCAGTTTACGTGAGATCGAACACGGTTGTGGGCGATACCACTCATCCGATCGGAGCGGTGATGGCAGAAATAGTGAAGGGCAACATTCCGGTTCGCAACGGCGTCGTTCACTTGATACAACGGCCGCTGATGGTCGTCGACACCACCGTGAAGGATTTCCTGGAGGTCAGTGATCCCCGATGATCCCCCGATGATTTTTATTATATATAAATCCGAACGAACTGTTATTCAAAAAAAAAATATGTCACATCGATGAGATAAAAAGCGCGCGGCCGGCCGATTTCGGTCGGCCGAAACGCGCGCGGTCGATCGGGACAAAAATAAAAACGCACGAAATTACGTTCTTTCGAATCGGGAAACTGTCACTTGTTCCCGAATCCACTTGTTTCGCGGCAATCGGCGCTAATCGACAATATTGGTTTTTTGATACTCATTGGATTTAAAACGGAAAATAACGCCAGGCCGATTTAATTGGGAGCAAAACGTTAACAATGAGTTTGCGCGCACGACGCATCGCGCGGCCTCGTCATCGACGTCATTTCTGTCCCGTCGATATTCATCAAAGCGTTCGAACGCACACGAGCAAAGGCTGCATTTCGTTTAGATAATAAACTGTGACGTCACACACAAAGAAGCGCGCGCTGTAATACACACACGTAGAGTACTACAATTTCGCATGTTTCAAATTCAGAGAGGCGCTCGTCTCTCGGACAGACCGCGTTAACGTAGTTGTCACACTCTGACGTTTAAAAAAAAAAAAAAAACCTTGAACGCGCGTAATTACCAGATGAGATGTACAGTTTCGCGTCTAAATTAAACGCGTTTTGCGACAGCACGCGCGCAACACTTTCGGTCAAACATATAAATATGCATTTTTAATTTTTTCGAGCGTAGAACACGCGCATAGAAATATTATTGTTTTTTGCGATGCAGATGTAAACAGATTTGCATTTAGAAAAAACGCAATGTTATCTTCATATTTCGCGCGACGCGAACATACACCGGTATTTGCATTCCGAACAACGGTGTATTTATTATTTAGTATTTTTTTTTTTTTTTTTTTGTAATTCGTATACGTCCGAAAGTTTCGGACGATATTATCGTTTTGTGTATTCGCGTTCGTATGAGTGAAATATATATAGAATCGATGAAAAGATAAAAGATAAACGTTCGAATTATTCAAATAAACTCCGTGAAAGTCCTAATAAACAAGCGCGCGCGCAAGACAATAGAAAACAGAATTTGTTTTCGTATATTTATCAACACAAAAAGAATGACGAGCTCCGACGGAAAAAAAACTATGACCGTATAATATGTCGAAATCCGCTTACTGAACATTTTTCCGAGCTCGCGCTCTCTCTCTTTCTCTCTCTCTCTCTCTCTCTCTCTCTCTCTCTATAAGTCTTCAATCATTCCTCGCGTAACTCGGTTAATGCAGACGACACGACGTACATGTATGTACGTACGCGGCGAAAAAAAAACGGCGGCAATTGACTCGGCAACGTGTATTCACTCGCGTGAAAGCATTGTGACCCAGGTCCGGTTTACACGCTGTCGAGGGAGAGGAAAAAAAATGAAAGAAGTCGGAAGAAAATTTATAACTTCGTTTAAAACCGCTTCTTACTCTCGAAGCTCTCCGCGAAATTGAACGCGAACCTTCGTTTCGAGTTCGCGCCATCTCGCGAGTGCAATTTTTCCGCGGTCTCGTTGGAGGAACACAGAGTCTTCTTTCTCTTTGAACATTTCGCGACGAGACGTAAAACATAAACAAAAATAAAAAACAGAAATCGACAAAATTGCAAACATTACGACGGAATTATTATTTCGAAAGTTTATCCAACTCTCTCGGGACTTGTGACTGCCAAGTAATACAACTCTGGTTCAAACTCGGAAGACCGTGGGAAAACACGGCGTGCGATTAAACATTGACAGAAGGAAGATTCGTTCAATTTTCGACGAGAGAGAGAATCGTCGCTTTGTTATACGTGATCTTCGCGCGCGCACCTGCGAGATGTATTACTCTCTCAGACGACGATACATATATATATATATATACATATATATCCGCACGGAAAAGCAAACATATAAAAGAAAACTTATCTTTTTTTCCGCGCGCTCGATACGCGGATCGCTTTTTAGTTATTCCGCGTGTACAACCGCCGACGTCGGGGGTAACAATCCGTGCGTCTCGGTGAAACAAAAGGAGAGACGAGAGAAACTACAGGTATATATTGCGAGAGGCCAGTGTGTGCGGCGCATACACACGAATAAATCGCGGATTCGAAGCGAAGTCGCATAGAGACACGGAGAGAGCGACTCGATCTCGGAGAAATTTCTGCGCGACACGACGGCGCGTCTATTATGAATTCAAGCCGCGCGATACATTAGAGCGGCATTAGTATTCGCAGTCCCGATACGATATATCTCGACGTGACGTGTGTTTCGCGACCCACCGCCGCCACCGCGAACGCCGACCTCAAAGGCACCCCCTGCATTATATTTACGGGTGAAGGAGGACAGTGCCGTGCTCCCCCGTTGTTGTCGCGTTCGTAATCGCGTAATCGCTGCCGTTCACGTCAATCGGAGTGGAATCGCACGTACGCGAATTTCGACACGCGGATCCGAATTATGCCACGAAGAAGATTCGAGCTGCGTCCCGACGAGGATAAAAAAATAGAGCGAAAAAAGAGTTACGGCGGTGAGTAGCTAATCAGAATAATTCCGCCTCATTTCTGTTCCGTCCCGTGCGGACGTTACGTGACGTCGCGAAACGCGAAACTAACTAACGCGAAACTAACGGAAGAGAAACGAAACACTTTCTAATTTCCATGAAAAAAGTTTGCGAAATGTCTTTTTTTTCACAAATAAATTTCAATTGTTTATTATTTTTGCATATGAGCTTTTAACAAACTCACACAGAAAATTCGTATAAACAATTTTTATGTATCAGAGTGACAACTTTTATTCGACAAAAACCAATAAATTGTAAACAAAAACTACGAAGCGATAACCCGATAACTTTTATTACATCCTCCTTCATAAAAGCAATTTTCTGCAATGTCGAACAACAATTTTGCGCGAACTTTCGACGTTTGATAGAAACTTTTGTGGGGAGTAAGAATGTTTCCGTTTTTCGTCGATTCCGCAACGAGATAATTGCCGCTCGTAATATGCGCGTTATCATGCGCGCGGGCGCCTCTTTAGAATACAATACGCGCTTGGAACACACGTGTTTTGATTTGTTTGCGAAACGTAAACTGGAACACAGCTGCTATTATTTCGCGGACAATCGAAATATTTCCGTCTCTTTTTTTTTGTCGCCAATAAAAACGGCAATCGAGAAGCGACATTTATATTTTATATCCATCGAAATCGATTCCGCAAAATTACGCGATAACTCAAACGGAGCGTTCGATTTTGGGAGTTTTTTGTTCCTCGGAGATTTTTGGCGTGCAATTTCGACAAAATTCGCACTCGTTACACAAAAAAAAAAAAAAAAAAAAAAAAACAAGTTACAGACGTCTCGGAAATTTATTAACGTTGTAAATAAAAGTCAGAGAGAACTAAGAGATAGCCGTCCTCTCGGAGCTGTCCGTTCAACGAGCTGACAAGCTAATAGATCGTATCTCTAAACGTTGTGTAACAGTTCTGAAAATACCCGCGGGAACAGTATTAAGTGATCTTTCTCTCTCTCTCACGCGCGCGCGCGATACTAACCGTTTAAGACCGTGCGGAAAGGCAACGGTAACGGGGGGCAATTTGTACGGTTGTACGAGAGAGCATCGCGCGCGCGCCATCGCGTTTGAGATAAGCAACGAACGTGTGTGTATGTGTATGTTTGTGTTACGCATAAAGTCGGGAATCGGGCGGAAATGAGAAAGAAAACGAGCTTTACCTCGTGATCGTAAAGATTCTATCCGCGGAATGGGGGAAGAGGAGGGAGGCGCGCTATCGCGGGTGCCCCGGCCCTCTCTCATATATTGTAACGATACTAATCTCTCGTTTGGAGCGCCGCCGCGGCCCTCGTTTTAGTGCCGGATTTGCGCCGGAGTCTGTGCACGGGGTCGAAGCACGTGCGCGCACTTGAAATAATTCGCGATAACGGCACGTTGTGCACGGGCGTGTATACGTGCGCGCATTCGACAATAGAATTGACTCTCTCTCTCTCTTTCTCTCTCTCTCCGAGACGCAAGGAAACACGTTATGTACACCTCGCAGCCTTAAAATCGGGAGAGTTGGTTTACGAGCATCCGCGGAAGTGCTTGCGCGAGAAATAAATCTCAAGGAGCTTCTTTTTGTCTTTTACTCTCGCCTTTGACATCTCGAGATGCCGCGCCACGTGTGTATATGATTGGCGCGTTTACACGAAATGCAGCCGAACACGTTACTACTTCATCGAGTTATTTAAATTTTGTTTTTTAAACGCGCTGGTAAAAAAAAAAACAAAAAAACAAAAACACGCGTCTTTTGACGAGGCCGCCGATGTAATTTCCCCAACGGAGGGAAATGAAAAAAAAAAAAAAAAACAAAAACAAAAAAAAGTTATATACATGCTGTATTCTGCTAATGACATTTTTTACATTGAACAGCAACACGAGCCGAAACACCACCACCGCCATTTACAGGAAACACACTCGTCCGCATTCGCATCACACGATTATATAAAATATACAGCGAAGAATTTTTATATATATATATATAAGTACGATTGTGTAGTTTCGATAACAGCGTCATCATCGCGAGAGCTGGGGAACCTGTTACTCACAACCAGCTGTTACCGTTAGAGAGCTGCAGCCACTCTTTATTTAAGTCAATAACAATTTCATTACTCGTGTAGATGGCACCTATCGAGAGCACAACCACTCCAAACTACAACTAGGTCACAAAATTACTCTTTCACTCTCTCTCTCTCAATCTGTCTGTCTGTCTGTCTCTCTCTCTCTTTCACACAGATATACTACTGAATTTCCGACGTAAAATCCAGTTTATTCAATATTTACTTCAATCCTTCTCTTCGTCGTCGTCGTCGTCGTCGTCGTCGTCGTCGTCGTTTTATTCCCGTCGTCGTGGTTTTGGCGTCTCGATGGCGGCATTGCGCTGGAACGAAGTTAATTAAAAATCAGCCGCGACGATATTATTCGCAATCGCTTCTTCCAATTTGCTCA